CGCGCCTGATTTAAATGTCACACCTGAACGCTCACATCCTTTTAATTATGTTTGAAATTATGAACATTGCTCAACATCATGAAAATTAAACCTTATTTCAATAAGCAATCCTGAAAAATATTTGGGGGTGCTTAACTTTTTTCTAGGTGTATAGTTTCAAAACTACGTGTTGTGGTCTTTCTTTTATGTATTGCGTTATGTCGTTTTGTGAAAAATCTGTAAGTGATGGAGAAAAATGTATATCATTTTCGGATTCAGCTTACAGGAATTTCTGTAGAACATATAATAATTTCAAGACAATAAAACCATCACATGCCTTTGTTATTATCGTTAGACTAGCCGCGACCTGCAATCACTTACTTGAATTATTCTTATTCTATCATTTTCACGCAAGCCATTTAATTATGCTACCCTTTCTTGAAACATTATGCGTTAAATCGATAAATCCTGGTTTATTTGAAAAAAGTTTACGTGGTCAAACAAAAAACTCAAGTAACTTTATTTCATAAAACTACACGAGCGTAATTATATTTAATGAAACTACACGTATAGTAATGGTATATATAAAATAGTGTACAGAGTATGAAACAGTTATGAGCGTTCAGCGTATGACACGGTTTTACGAGTTAAAACTCATAAAAACGAAGAATAAAGCCCACAATAAAGAAAAAGGCAGCTAAAAGGTGTTTACAGTAGTCTATGAAACGAACCGAAGCTAAATTATTGAAAACTAAAGTGAATTTTGCGCAAAGCTACACGAGGGCTATCTACGCTAGCCGTCCTAGACTAGAGGGAAGGCAGCTAGTCATCACCACCCACCGCCAACTCTTGGGCTAATCTTTTACCAACGAATAGTAACATAATAACGCCCCCACGACTGAAAGGGCGAGCATGTTTGGTGAGACGGGGATTCGGACCCGCGACCCTCAGATTGCGAGTTAAGCGCCCTAGCCACCCAGCCAGTTATAAAGAAGGCAAACTTAACTGATATGCAGAAACGCCTGAATGCGTGTTCACAAAGTGATAAGCATATGTTTTTGAACGAACTGCGCATGTATTTAGTGTAATATTCATAACGTTCTTTTTTTTTTAGAAAATTATATGTTAGTTAAATATTCTTGCTTGTGTGAAATACCTTGCAAATAAAAAAGCGAAAGTTGAAATCGAAGCCAGTCGTCACGTGTTTAAAACGAAATTATGTCATCGTGTCCCATACTCGTTTCATTAAAAAATCTGACTAAGTCAGGTAAGGTGATTCCAAATTAAAAAGCCAATATGTAACCCGGACTCTTCAGAGGCCTTTCTAAAGGTATAAGATCTGTAGCGTTAGATCGAGAAATTTGCTAGAAATGTACCAGGACAGACAAATGGAAGCGTATTATTTATATAAATGTTTAAAAAAAAAGACATCTTTCACTCAAAAAAAAAAAATCTCAGAATATATTCTGATGAAATAGATGACTAAAGAGAAACGTTATTTAAAATTTTGGATAGCATTTACGATTAATCGCGCCAAGATATTCCATAAATATTTATAGATATATTATCAACAGCCTTTTCTATACATGTCCCAAAATCACGAGAATGATCAGCAGAATGATAAATGACAACTTATTTCACAATATAAATTAAAAAGTGTTTATGTACAAATAGTTGTCGACAACTTTAATGCATATTCCGACTAACACTAACCTGTGTTGACAAAATATGAGAAACGAACTACTGGCTTATTTTATAACACTATTATTGTTCATTCTCTGGTTATGAAATGTTTTGTTGAACGTCGCACAAAGCTACTCGAAGACTATCTGCGCTAGCCGCCTTTAATCCTGAAGTCAATACTACCCGACGTCAACTCTCGGGTTACTATTTTCAGATACAATAGTGGGATTTGACAGTCACTCTTATAATGCCCAAAAACTGCTGAAGGCCATTTATCAAAGAAACAAAAAACGACAACTCGCAAACAATGTGTTCCAAGATTGGAAGCTATATGCGTGTCTCAAGTATAAAAGTTTTGTAGACCTGATATACAGGTTACTATCGCGTGATATAAGTCCATGGCTTTGTGAAAGTACAAGCGAACCATTTTTTAAAGTTTTATGATAAATTCTTGCGAGTTCTGTTACAATTACGACGAACTTCACCTTGAAGGAATTCGTTTAATTCTGTACAAAAATTCCCTCATAAAAAGATGGTTGTTTTAAGAATAAAATATGTGATTCTGGTTGAGTAAGTTGCTGAAAGTGGTTAAACTTCTTTGAACGAGATCTTTATTTTTTGTTGGACATGATTTGATTCGACAACAGCGTTTAAATAACAGTTATATTATCATACAATTCATAAAAATGACAACAAAATTTAATAGGTGGCACCACAAGTTTGTTTGTTTGTAATTAAGCACAAAGCTACACAATGGGCTATCTGTGCTCTGCCAACCACGGGTATCGTATCCCGGTTTCTAGCGGTATAAGTCCCCAGACATACCGCTGTGCCACGGGGGGGGGGCACCACAAGTACATATATTATGTAACTACAATGGTATTTTTTGTATAATTATTCTTCATTGTTATCTGTTCCAAAGTTTTTCCATCGTTTGTTATTAAGCACAATACTACACACAGGGCTACTTGTGGTTTGCCCACCATGGGTATCGTATCCCGGTTTCTAGCGGTATAAGTCCGCAGACATACCGCTATGCCACTGGAGGACACTGTTACAAAGCGTTTCTTTTAGCAAACTTTTACATAGATATATATATATCATCAAATAACACACGTTCACAGACTTTCACCAAGATAAATGTAAACGTGTTGCGTTTCCTACCATATCCACAAGCATCTTGGCAGTGTTCCGATATTATTGTATTTCAATGTTAAACTTGCTAAAACAACAACAACAAAAAAACAACATGGCAAACAACCCTCAGCCCTTGAATTAGGTGATAATATAGATGCTACGTAGACCTTCCTATCATAGTAGGTGCCTTGAAATATCAATAAAATATCTGTCCATAGCGGGAATAGAACTCTGAATTTCATTGTTTGAAGTCTATAAACTTACACCTTATAATGTCAAAAAATATGGAGACTTAGTATTCTTCGTTTGATTTAGAGCAAAGCTACATCTCAGGGAATCGATTCCTGAAATTTAGCATTTGAAGTCCATAAAGTCACCGCTAAACGCGTTCTATTTACTCCAAGTGAGCCAGAGCCAATGTAGCTGCAGGCACCACAATTCTAATATACTTATTGGTTAACCATGATTTTTACTGCGATTAACAACTTCTCTATAAAATATTAAACCATGTGATTTGCCATATTCTTAAAAAAGACGTATTTTAACTTGTTGACTTCTGATCCGCTATACAGGGTACGGTCTGCCTCTGGCAGTTGAACGTGAGTATTTTTGGCTCGCAAAAATTCCACGCGAGTTTAAAGCAGCCGCAATCAAAGGGTTAAAGGAAATTGGTTTAAGTAACCTCCTTAAAGTAAGGAATACTTCCATCATTTTAGGAAAATGATGCAAATATTCCATTTTTTACTTTTCTAATGAGGTTCCTTAAAATATTTTCGTTCAAATACGAAGATACAGAACAGTCGGGAGTTCCTAAAAATAAAAAAATGTGCTTTATGTACTTTTTTTAAACAGTTTACAGAATTTTCATACCACCACTGGTTTAAAATGGAATGATAATTTGTAACTTAAAACCGATCAACATAAATACAATAATAATTCGAGAGCATTCGGTAGAAATGCGGATTATTTACTAAGCTATCAAAAATAAAGCGT